TCTGTATCTGTATCTGTATCTGTATCTGTATCTGTATCTGTATCTGTATCTGTATCTGTATCTGTATCTGTATCTGTATCTGTATCTGTATCTGTATCTGTATCTGTATCTGTATCTGTATCTGTATCTGTATCTGTATCTGTATCTGTATCTGTATCTGTATCTGTATCTGTATCTGTATCTGTATCTGTATCTGTATCTGTATCTGTATCTGTATCTGTATCTGTATCTGTATCTGTATCTGTATCTGTATCTGTATCTGTATCTGTATCTGTATCTGTATCTGTATCTGTATCTGTTGAAGAACTTACCGTGCGAATGGCATACTCAACGGCACCTCCTCTCATGGAAACAAAATGTTTATTCTTCGTTAGAATATCGTTGACCGTGTTATAGGGCAGAGTGAATTTCGAGAGGGTCAAAAACGCCGTCAAATTGGCCGTGTAAAAAGAGGTTAAAATCGTAATAAAAATCCACCAGGTCGCAAAGAGAAGGCGTGTCGAGTCTGCGATTAAATATATATGTAGGATATGTATGTTATACATGTATATATAAATGATAATTGAATCGACAAACTCGGCGATTGCATGTCCAGTGAACCGAGCGCAGCTCACGGGCCAAATGCAGTTCAAATTGCAGATGGCTATCGCTGCATTAGGGTTAATTGCTGGCTCACCTGCGATGGGGGAGAGGGTGCTGCCCTGCTTCATGAGTGCGCCGTAGACGAACCAGGCGCAGTGGCCCAGGGAATAGGGCTGCTGCTTTGTATCGCCTGTGAGACGATTTCGGACTATGATGAGCATATAGATGATGGGTCCGACGGCCAGCAGCGAGACGAAAATGAGTATCCAGACATAAAATTCGAATGGCGCCAGTAAGCCAGAACCCCCAGCCGACTCTCGCGGTCTTCGCATCACCATGATCCACTCGCCCTCATCCAGAGTCGTTGTGGAGTAGAAGACAAAGCTGCGCTGCTCCGACAGGGAGGGTATGAAGGCAGCAGCTATATCCACCTCCTGTCCTCCAAGAGAGAGAGAGAGAGAGAGAGGGATATTTGGAATGTTAGATTATGGGTGTAAGAGAAACTCACGCTATTGTTGAGCATTTCAATGAGACTGCGATCCAAATCGACTTTCGAGCCAAGTATGTTGTCTTGGGGCACAACCACTTCGTAGGTGAAGTTGAATTTCTCTTGAAGGAACTCGATGATCTGGAAGGAGACGCCATGACCCACCCGAGTGCCATTCTCTAGCACTTCGGTGTAGCTCAGAGGGTAGTCCTCGAGCGTGGCTATGCGCAGATGCCGGCCATTGATCCAGGCCTTCATGTTGCGCAGTTTCTCCCGCTTGTTGCGCAACACCTCGAGCGTTTCCATGGGCGTCTCTTCATCCAAACCCACGTTCTCCGCGTGCACATCGAGGGGCACATCTGTCACCACACTGCCAAACTCGTCAAGTAGTATTAGTTCCTCAGGCAGCGTATGATTCATCGGCGGACAGGCCAGGCACAGCGCGGCAGCCACCATCAGCTCGATGCCTGTGGCCATCTGGACCTGGACCTAGACTCAGACTAGACTCAACTAATCTAAATAACTGTTTGCTGCTCTAGTATCTGAGAAACTTTTTTCGCTTTCGCATACTGGCCCCGAAGTACAGTTGCCAATCAATTTTCCTTTTTCGATTTCACAACCGACCGTTAGACACAGAGACCCGAGCGTTACTAAAACTTCAACTTCCATGCAGCTGGCACTCGGCGAATATGTGTAAATATGGCCCGCATGTGTGCCTGACCCACAACAAACACAATTAACAATAATGACAAGTGTAAATATGACAGGACACCAACAACCAAACCAGTTGCGACTGCCCGCCCCGATGCAGATTGTAAGTTTTGATTACGATTTCCATTCTCTGCCGGGCGAGCTGACTGGGCTAATGAAACGTCGCTGGCGACTATTGACTGCTTAAGAAAATACAAATATAGTTCAAGTCCAATCAGGACGGATGATTGCCTAATAGCTAATATAGGATTACCAGAACAGACTTTCTTATGACTTGCTTACGCTCAAGGACATTGCGAGTCCTGTGGGTCAAGTTTACAGTTATTCAAATGCCTCATAGCCGCAGCCATATGCGTAATATGCCACAATTACAGTTTAGTGGACAGACGGAATGAAATTAATCGTTAGAGGAAATTAACGAAGAAAGTTGTCAAACATATTTAAATGAAATCTAAATCAATGTTTAATGAGCAAAGTATGCGCTGAACCTAATTGATTGGCTAACCGGCTTAGTGAATCACTGGTGGAGTAATTAACTTATCACTCAACTGTCTGCCTTACAGATTCACCAACTCATCTACTGATTTAGTGATCGACAACTAATCAGCCGAACATTTGATTAACTCACCCGATTCTACCCTCACCAGAATAATTGAGCAATAATATAAAATTATCTCTCACTTTCTCTTTCTCTTTATCTTCCTCTCTCTCACTTTTAATGTATATCAGTATAGCTTTACCTCGTGCTCTCACGCACATTTGCTGACTCTCACTTCCTCTCTCTACCTCAAATAATCGTTAATATTCACTCGCTCTCTTTCACTCTCGAACCATAGTTCACTCTGCTTCTCTCTCGCACTCTCAGTTTCTCTGTCTCTCTCATAGTCTCTTGCACTAATTCCATCTAGCTGTATCTATGAATCTAGCTCTATTAATCTATATTCCCTTCATTTCCAGTCACCCACTCTGACTCTTACGAGTCTATGTCTATCTCTAGCATTCGTATACGACTATCTATCTCGTTTTTTCTCTTTCTCTCTCTCTCCCTCTCTCTCTCTCTCTCTCTCTCTCACTCTCTCTCTTTCTCTCTCTCTCTTTCTCTATTTGTCCTCTAGTGCTATATTAAATATTTCAAATATTTATTTTTAATTTTCTTTAATTTATATTAATTGTATTTCTCATTTATGATGAAATATCTTATGTGTTTAAATATATGTTAGGTTAATTTAAATATTACACTAATTTATTTTACTTGGCACTAGGTATTCATATTCGTATTTACATAAGCTATATACACAGTCACTGCTCCCAGCGCGGTCCTAACCAAATCGGCTGCTATTGTCCAATACCTCAGCACTGGATCCGATTGCCAAACTGTTCTGGTTGCACTTGCAGTCCTCGCCGTCCACGCGGCCCTTGCCGGAGGTCAGGATGCGCATGCCCTCGGCAAACTTTGGAAAGCCGGACATGGTCTCCTTCAGTGTGGTCATCATCACTGGCAGATACATGAAGAAGTCTTTGAAGTGGCCCACGACTGTGTGGTAGTCGATGGCTCGTCCACTGGCGGAGCTGCCACCCGTGCCCTGGTAGCTGCCATCGCCGTCAATCTCGTTGCCAGGCGAGCCATAGGGAACGGCGGTGCAATGTCGCATGGCTGAAGAGTATCACAAAATCATTAAAATCCCATGCTGAGATCGACTTATTCCAGTGGGAACTTACCCAACAATAAAATAATTGCGGCTGCTAGAAATTCTCTGTGGTCTGTCATGATGTCAACTTGGCTCGAAATGCTCAGCACTTGCCACGACTGTTCAGCATTTATAACATTTCAAGCGTTTGCTGGCTAAGCAGAATTCTTGATGCGGACTGAGTTTCAGCTGTTTTCTTGTGGTTTTCACTTTTCCGCTGAATGCAGCAGAAAAACTCGAAACTCTTGGCGAAAATTTGATTTTCAATGTTATTGTAAAGACCTCTCTCAAGTGGAAATGCAAAGCAGAAGGTTTTCTTTTTTTTTACGATAACAGATGTCAGAATTGGTAAGCAATATTTCTCAAATAAAGAAGAAGAGTTCATTAATATATAAATAAATATTTCTATAAGCTAATATAAACAGCCGCAATTCAAATTCAAGTGAATTTGTGTATTTTTAACGACATCCAATTTAAAGATTGAACTGATTTAACTTTTTACATGGTTATTGTTGTTTAATATAATGTATGAATAATAAATAATAAACAATTTGTAATTTATATTCATATTACATATTCCAGCTCCCTAATTCAGCTATAACATCATACAGAAATTCAAAATTTAAGCGCTAAGAAGAAACTCCAATGCTCATTTATTCCACTCAACCACAGAAATTTCTCGGAAAGATAGGAGTTCCTTCTCATTAGGAGATTTCTGTACTAATCAAAGCCCATAGACAGACACATCAACCTTCTTGCTAACAACTTCCTTAGCAACGCCCTAAAAAGATACCATCCACTAGACCTTCAACGTCGCTCATTTCAAACAATATATTGCATAGCTCCATCTATTGTAATTATTTTGCACTAATATGGTGTGTGGATTTTAAACAGTTTCGTAGGTACACACTGACAATAATGCCATAGTTACAGTTGAAATACATAGGTGGCGCTTAACAAGCAACAAGAATTAATTCAATAAAAAATAAAAGTAAAATACCTTAATTATTTGATATTTCTAATAAAAAATGCTTAGTTATACATAATAATATTTATGTATAACTAATTCAACTAATTAATTTATGTATACAAATAATAAATAATTAAAAATAATAAACTTAAAATATATTACGCTTTTTAAAATATTGCCTAAATAAATTAAATATTGCCTAAATATATTAATATAATACATTTTACACTATACAATTGCTATTACATTAGTTATTTTATTATAAAATAAAAAGTTCAATAGTTCAATTAATAATATATATATATTTTTTTTTAATAATCAAATTAATAATATAACTCAATGTATAAAATCCTTATAAATATTTAGGAATAAATGTGGCTTTAATTTAAATCAATAATACTTTTGTTTTATTATGCGAAAAAGTTATGAATATTTGTATATTTTGATTTAAATTTTTTGCAAAAAATTTGTACGTAAAATAATTGATTTAAAATTGATTATTTAATTAAAACAACATTCCAATCAAGGCAAGTTCAAGTGGTTCTATATTTAACAAGCTAATTGTACGAACGAGTCGAGTAAATGTGTCAAGTAATTGTGTCAGAGCTGCAATTATCGAAAGCCGTATTAAAAGTCTATTTAATAGAAATAGCAAAACTAGTCGTGACTTTGCAATGACTTGAGTAAGTCAAGAACTCTAGAGAATCGATGACAGTGCGCGAATGCGAAAAAAGAGTTTCAGTCCGATAGAATTTGTTGAGCTAATCAAGTCAAGTGACGACCAAGCAACAACATGCGCCAGCCAAGTTCAAAGTCAAGAGCAAAACGACACCAACCTCGGCTAGCGCAGAGGGGCTTTACAAGTGAAGAAAAAAAAAATACGAAAAAAAAACTTTAATTGCGTAATTGATGTTTTCATTTCATTCACCTCTCAGCACCTGCAAACGAAACCGTTGATCATCGCAAAAGCCCCCGAAAACACGTTTCGACTTGTTCAAATTGGTCACTATTATGAGCCGGGATAAATGGAATACAGTTTTAATGTCTCAAAAGCAATCTGATTAATTGTAGTTTTATTTACCCAACAAGTCCAGTGCGTATTGCCACACGACAGTTGTAACAGGCCCAAGTGGACGCCTCGCATAATCAATAAAGATGTTGAATTGATGACTGTGCTGAAATGCTAATTTCGTATGCGTATCGTTTGTGATATTTAATGGCTTGTGATAATCATTGTGATTGCCATTATGATTATAATTATTATGTTTATCTTCATCATTACCATTTGAACTCTAATTAATGGCATCGCTATCATTTTCGGGCAGTGCACAAAGCATTTAAAACTTGGCTCAGCAACAAAACGAAAATCATTTTCCTTATGATCATCTTGCTAATTTTAATATCATTATTATTATTAACCAACTCGCATAAACAAATTTTTATTCACATTGCTATCATTTTCTTGATGACTATTTTCATCATCATTAGCATTATCATTTTCATTATAATGGTTGAAAATCAATTTTTTATTTTTATTATCATTTTAATTATTATTCTTGGTATAATAATTTTTTTTTTTTTTTTTTTGTATAAATAATCTCGAACATCATTGTCAGTTTTATTACTACGATCATTATTTAATTCACTTTTCTTTTATACATTATTATGAGACCCGATAATCTCATCATTTTTACCTAAACTGTCATCAGTAATCATCTTCTTATACATCATTACTATATTCATTATTATTATTTTCTGAACAATTCAGAATGAAGAATTCGAGAGCTTTAGCTCAATTCTTCCAGTGTAGCTCTGCTAAAGCAAACATTTCATCTAATCAGGCTGTAAACTACAAGTATTTCGATGCAAGCCAGAGTTACCCTATCCTATCCTAATTGTTATGGGAAATATGTAAGTAGCGGCCGACTCCACTCGAGTGCCAGTCACACGCGCATTCCAGTCCCCAATCCAGACGCCGATATGGAAATGAGCTAGCGAATTTCTGCCTTCGGCCAGCTGATTCGCTCGGCCCTCATCAAATATGCGCACATCGTTTGACTTACTCATTAGACGCGTCGTGAAGTTTTCTAATTTCTAAGCGTTTATTTATAAAAGCGTAAACGAATACTACAAACAAAAATGGTCGAGACTAAGGCGACGTATCACAGTCGATGTCAGTTATCTACTATAAAGGCTGGCAATTGTCGGACTAGACGACGAAGTCGGCCCGACTGTTCACTCTGGTGATCAGGTACGGACGCTGCTCGGTGGGGCAGTTGAACTTCTCGAACAGGTGCTCGCTGAAGCCGCTCTTCTCGCCCGGCATCTCCAGCATATTGTTCCAGATCGCATTGGCCGCCGAGGCCTGGCCGCGCTGGCTCAAGTGGAAGCAATCCTCGGAGAAGAACCGCGTGTCCGTCGTGCCTGAGGGCGTGCGCGGAAAATCGTCGAACTGGGAGAAGGGCTGCACATTGATGGTGAATGTCTGCAAAGAGATGAGCGATGCTTAGAGTATTTCTCTGTAGCTCCTTCATGGACTTACGTCTGAATTGAACTCCGGCAAGTTGGCAATCTCGTAGTCTTTGGCTATCCAACGCTTCATGATGCCCTCTAAGTAATCCAAGCGCTTCTTGCTCTTGCCCATCAGGCACGGGCACTCAAAGGTCAACGTGGTCTGACAGACGGGCGGCAGCCCGGAAAGCTCAGTCAAAAACCGTAGATTTGGAGCGGGCACCACATTCAGCATGAGCCGCGGCACATTGTCCCGTAGATAGCGATACGTCTTCAGTATGTTCTGCTCGTGCAGTTTGATCGTCTGCTCCGGCTGTGGGTGGAAGCAAATGTCGGCGCAGAAGTCATTGTTGCCTATGAACATGGTGACCAGCTTCCAGTCCCGGGTCATGTTCACGTGGGGATCGTTCCTCATGCGCTTCACCAGCACCTTGGCCATGTAGGGCATGTCGCGGGACATGGCGCCCAACTCGGCCACATTGAAGCGCGAGGAGCGATCTGTGGAGAGGCCGTCCCTAAGAGAGTAGCCATAGAGCTTGGGATTGAACTCCTTGAGTATGTTGGGCAGGGTGAGATATTTCTTCCAATTGTATTGCCCGCCAATGGACCAGACCACGCCTCGATTCTCCACGGTCACGTGCCCCAGGTTGGTGGCGAAAATGCCATTGCCCGCGGTCAGAGAGTCGCCCATGCCGCCAATGATGTCGATGTCGCCGGGTCGCAGTCGATGCACGCTCGTCGGCCGCTCAGCACTGCGTCTGCCGGGCCCCCGTTCCGTGTCGCAGAACTGGAGAAGGGCGCGCGTGCGCGGATTCGACTTTTGGGTTTTCTGAAAGAGCAACACGAATGGAGGCTAGCGAATGGATAGTAAGAGGCGCAGCAGGACAAGACTTACGCCGGCATTGCGCACGCGCTGCACGTTCGCCGGCACGTCGCCGGATCGCCCGGTGAAGGCCAGGCTGAGCAAGCGCAGTGGCCGGTAGGCGTTCCTGAAGGCCAAATCCAATGACGTGCGCTGTGACGTCACACAGCCAATCAATCCCAGCAGCAGCAGAGCAAGTAGCAGAACGAATGACAGCTGCCGTGAAGGCGCCTTGTCCATTTCGTCTTGCAGCTGAAACAACATAAAATTAATGGGCGTGTGTGTGTGTGTCTGTGTGTATGAGGAGGGCTCGCAAAACTCTTGCTATCGTTGGTGACGTCCTCGACACTGAACCAGTTCTGCGTACACATTGCGTTACAGAGCCGCCGACGCTTTGCTAGTTTGTTCACCTTTCGTCGCTTGTTTTGATTTGCCTTTCGGTCGGAATAAAGATTTATGCTTAGTCAGATTTGTCTGGGCCGATTCTAGCATGCGGCAGTAAGGCATCCGAAAATATTATGCAAATGTGAGCTCAAAATCAGAAAAAGTATAATGGAAATAAACGTTCCGCATAACTGAGAAGACGCTTTAGCAGCTTCTTTAGAATAGATTCTCCAAATACTCTGCAGCTGGGATAATTATCCACAGAAGCGTAAAGTTCATTAGGTGCTGACCCTGAGGCGCCAGAATGTTTAATTTCAAGTTATTTTTAAACCACTAAACAGTTTTAACTATCATTTTATTTATGTTTTAATTTGCTTAGATTAAGCCTAATCAACAATTGTCACTCAACAAGCTCAATCTGTTCCGACGTTTGGCACGCTTACGGCAGCGCGAAAGAACGATAAAATAAATCTAAATTTTTTTTATAAGTTAGTAGGCGGAAGTCTTGAGCGATCGAACTGAATATGCGTGCTAAATCCAGTTGCGATCGAGATTCATGCAGACTTTGTTTTGTTTCCTTTTCGCATTATGCGCATATCTCAAACAAAAGACTTGGAACACAAACGCGACGAATTAGATACAAAACGGAAATGCAGCCGAACCACACTCAATTAGTTTAAATTAGTGAACATTTGAATAAAAGAAGCACATAACAGTATATTTCTACCTTTAAATCACTTAAATTTAATTGAGATTGAAAATTAACTTGAGTTTTATTCACTCTTTGTTTCTCTTCGCGTAAATCTTGCAACCAAGAGAATTGCACAATTACATAAAAACTGATTTAATTCGATATTGCGAATTTATGGCCCCAAGAAGGCAGCGCGTCCGACTCCGTTGACCGCATAGAATCGACTGTCCGGTAGAATTTCTGAATATGCTGATTTTATATGGATTGCCCGTGGAGCCGGACAGCGTTGTACGCATAGAACGAAATACGAAATAAAATACAACAAAAAATAATGAAAAACATATATAAAGATCGTAGCTGTATACGAAACACGTAAAAAGAACAAAATACAATACAAATTAAGTGCGAATTTTCAGAATCGAGCATGCCTGACATGCGAATACCCTGTGCATAGTTGAGCAATATGTATAATGTAATATATATGTAATATAAATATTCTCTAAATATATTTCAGCCAATTCAATATTTTTGCCTGGAGCAGTAGTAATTCTAAATTAAGTTTATACATTTTCATAACTGGGTCTAACTGAAATCATTTTAATAAATTATATTGAATAATTACTTATTTAATTTATATTATAGTCGAATAATTACACCTTAAAAAATATTATTAATCAAAATGTTAAAAACAAATTTTAAAATAACTGGTTATAAAAAAATGATTGATAATATAATTTACCATTTACTATTTTACTAAAACTTCATACGCAAAATCCTCGTTAAATTAATTCATTAATTAAATTGTAAAAACCAAAAAAAAATATAAGTATTTTTAAATTTATAATATTAACGTATATATAATTTAATATTTAAAAACTAACCATATTGAATCTTTGGAGCCTTTCATACCCGATCACAATTAAACTACGTGGTATATATCATTATAAAACTTCCTTCTGAAATTCCTCGTTAAAAAATTGTAAATTTTGTGAACAATATGTTTAATATTTTTAAATAAAAACAGAATAAATTTTATATTTATTAATGATATTGGTTTTTGAGCCTTGCACAGCCACTCGCAATCCAGCTACGTGGTATACATTATATCAAAATTGGCTATCTGATTTTCACACACTCACACTGGCGTACGAAATGTGGCTGACGCGCTGAGCCGGTTATAGTTTCGACTGAAAACAAAAAACGTAAATTCTGAAATTCACTTTCGTCGAGATGTTAAAAATAGTTCTCTGCCGGAGCCTAGACATTTAAAGCGGCTTTGTAGGCATGACGAGACTAAAAATCTGCAAGGGGCGTGCTAAGGGAAACGAGAGCAACAACTCATCCAGCGTTACGCTGGATTACTGAGGCATTCCCAATTGAAAGTTGGTCTCGAAATAGTTACTTGGTAATTAAAGCTGGCCACATGTGTCGTACGTGCTCCGCCGGCTACTCTATAGAGAGAGACATAAATTTCGCGAGCGAGACAGACAGATAGATGAGCATTAATTTAACAGTTTCTTCAATTGACATTTGTTGATTTTATCACTCAATGGAAATGCTATAAACATTGCTTAATCGCGTAAACCTTTGGACCATGTCGCAGTCAAGTGCTAACACATGGAACGACACTTTTCAAAAAGGTCTAGATGGGGTTAAGTTGTTGACTGCAATCATTTCGTTGCTTCCAGCTGATGCCCCAACCCCAAGAGATTGAACATAACCGGCCAGCACCTTCGACTTGACAAAGACTTTCACCGTCCACCTTCCACCTTCTACCTTCCACCTTCCACCGTCCACTATCCACCGTCCACTTCCTCAACAAACAATCCAGTGTTGCCATCGAATAACCTTGTGTCGCAAAATAATATATAATAATACATAAAATAACGGCACGAAGCAATTAAAGCAAAACAACAAAGAAGCAACAACTTGTTTTAAATGAACAACACCAGAAAACAAGAAGGAACCGCCTTAAATGACATGACGATGCGTGTGTGTGGCAACATCTTGAAGTTGATGCTGATGGTGTTGTTAATGACGAAGATAATAGTAATGTTGACGTCGTTAGGTACTATAAAAATCATTTAAGCCATTTATTGAAGCGCAGCTATCTATTGTCTTAGATATAGACTTTAAATAACGTCAGGCTGTTGTGACTCTGCAGCCGAGCCCATTCTTCCCTCGAATACTTAAATAAGATCTTTTAAACATAGAAATATAAGTTAATATTTAATATATTCATAACAGAACAGATAATAGATAGCCAGCTGCAGAGAAGTTTCCTGAATTTCAAGAAATCTAGATATATATCGATGGAAAACCCGACTGAACTTGATATAGCCAAGCTCCTAATTTGCTTACTAGCGTTTTAAAATGCTTAAAGATTTACATTTTATGTATTACTAAAATAAGTTAAAAACTGAAAATCCTTCATTTGTTTTATATAGTCACTAGCTATAGAACCTAATCATAATATGTGTTCTATGGTTATTGATATAATTTAGTCATTTTCCAGAAATCCGTTACAACAAAGCGAAGCTCAACTTTCAAACCAAAACCAAAAGCTTTTGGATTGCTTTCATTCGTGCCTCATGCGATAGCTACATGGAACACCACTACTTGTCGTATCGATACATCGATATCCTTAGTCTCGATTTTGCCTGTCGGCAAATGGGAGTTGTGACGTTATCTTTTATTAAAAAACCTAGCTCAAATTGAAAACAGTTCATAGCAAATTTGATTTGATAAGACTCGCTATAGAGCAGGAAACTTCCGCAGCAGCCACATAAGCAAATTCACGTAACGTCTTAAACAAACGCCGAAGCCGGAGCTGAGGCCGGCGTGCAAAGAGCAAACACAACAACAAATACAACTCAGACAGAAACACTTATTGACTGCCCACGGACAATGGGCGCTCTGCGATACATGGGCTGGATAACCGGTTGCTCGGTCTTCACGGCACTACTCTCAATCATCTGGCAGGCATTTCTCACCCTGCAGGCGCTGAACAGAACAACCGTACTTCTCACCGGTCTCCTGGCCATCGAGGGCGGCGTCAAGAAATCCACCGATGAGCCGGCACCCAAAGTAGCCGTAGGCTATGGCGCCTGCACGGATCTGCAAATAAATGCCACCGAGTTTCTGGAGACCTTCTACAAAATGCGTGTGCCTGAGCTAAGCACCGACTTCGCGGCGAAGAATGTGAAAAATGAAAATGAGTTTCTTCAATCATTCGCCTACTACTTCAAGAACGGGGCCGCAGCTGAGTAAGTGCATCCATTAGATATAATTTGAGACATAATACTAAATACATCAACCTTATAGGCGCGTCATATCCAACAGTACGCTGTTCAAACAACTGATAACCAATGCCAAAATAATGGACAAAGAGCGCATTCAGTGGTATATGGGAGGCAACGCCCCATTGATGGCAGTGCGCTTTGTCATAGAGGGAGCGGATGTGCTTCTAGGCGCGCATATGTCGAAGAAGTACGTGGCAAACATGAATTCATCTTCAGCATGAAGTACTCCACATTGTATATTTTCAGATTGCGACCTTTGCTGCCCAAGGAGATTCGTCTGGCAGGTGATGAGATACCCGATGATGATATACATCTTATTCTGGAGTATAAGGCCGGTGATAAATGGGGTCCATATGAGGCACCTCGTGCCAATCGTTATATATTGCATAACGATAAGAACAATCCGCATTTGAGAGCGGTGGAGCACCTGACGGACGCACTAAAGAAATATAATCCGCAGCTGCTGGTGGTCAGCGGTCTGCAAATGATGGACATGTTCAAGTTCAGTCCAGGTGTGCGTGAGGCACGCTTGCGCCAGGTGCAATCACAGCTGACAAGCCAGCCGCCAGGCACGTTGCAACATTTCGAGCTCGCCAGCTACGTGGAGTTGGAGCTGCTGCATCAGCTCCGGCAGTATGTGCTGCCGTATGTGGACTCCTTGGGCATGAACGAACAGGAGTTGTCCAACCTGCGACAGGTGCTGGAGAATGGACGCACCACACTGGCCACCGACTGGAATCCACGCATTGCCAACACCCTGGACCAAATGCGTCAGGTGTTCATCAATCTGCTGGAGGATTACAATGTGCGGCACAAGTCCGATCCACACAGGCGCATGTTGTCCAGAATGCACGTGCACACTCTGGCCTACCAGGCCATACTGACCGTAGCCAACTCGAAGTGGAAAAATACAAGGGCTGCAGCCGCTAAGGCTGCACTGACGGCTCATCGTTACGTCTGCAAATCCCAATTTGTAAGTGCTGAAGATTTTTATTTATCATTTTCTCTGACCAATGACCATGAAACTTGATCATTTACAGATCAATCCAGAGGCGGTGACTCTTGTTTTGGACGACAGCTTCGCCACATCAGCTCAAGAGCAAGCGCCTCGAATGCGCATCAGCGCTGCCAATCCTGTGCCTTGCTGGCAGGAGTTTATACAGTATGGTGTGGATCTGCAAAAAATCGAAGTGGAGATATGCGTGGCGCCAGTGCTGATATGCCGAGTGGCCAAAAAGACAGCGGGAGCTGGAGATAATATATCTGCCTCCGGACTAGTGGTCCAATTGTGAGGAACTCAAAAGAACTACAAAAAAACACATAAAGCAAAAAAAGGAAATATGAATTGTGAAGCAATAACGATGACAACGATCATGTTTGGACCGGCAAGACTGCTTAGTATTTACACGAAATGCAAAAGACTCAACATAGCAAACCCTCAAATTGAATCCTCGACAAAGCAACTAACCCAATCTCAAGAACATTCCCTGTTGAAAGCTGTTTATAGACAGCATGTTTAGCACCTTAGTGACCTTAGAAACGCGTTACCTTCAGTAAAATTACGGACGCCGGCAAATCCTTAAGAATTGCGGAACGGAACAACGATAGAGTTGGCTCACGGCCTTAGTACTACATATCTAGAAGATGAGATTATGTATAACAGAACAAAAACTTGAAATTCAGCTGTTGAAGCACTCGAGTCTTAGCTAAGATCTATATCAAATCTCTGGATACACTCACTCTTAATTATTTAATGTGTTCAAAATTATTCCTAAAGTGCATAGCAATGCAACCTAGTCTAAGTTTATTAGTTTGTCGTCGTATTATTATTTTTCGGTATTATATCGATGTAAACCATTCCTACTTACAATTTGTTTTGCGCACTTGGTTTTAGGCTAAAATGACAATGTATTCATAAATACGTGTATAATACAAATTTCTGTTGAAATCTAATCAATATCGTTTGAGATTTCCTTCAGTCTTTTTCAAGCATAGACAAAAACTACATAATATATAAACTTCGGTTAACAGGGTATAAAACATTTCGTATACAATTCCTATTTTCGCTAGGCGCGCATAAACGGGGAAGTCGAATTAGTGCGATAAAAGTGTTCACGACTATCGATGAATCGATTGATCGATACTACTAATTCGAGAAGTTTCGTGACCATTCTCTGTCGACGTCGACGTCGCCGCTACAGTTTTCATTACGCTGAAAAAACGTGTCGGTCGCGGTACAAAAAAGTTGTGAGCGTTTATACATTGTTAAAATAAGTATAAATCGTCTACATATAAAAGAAATCTGCAAATATGTGCGTAAATATATCATCACAGATAATGTCAATAGAAAAATCGCTTAGATTGTTTACAACATTCCGTGGGCGTCTATGTGAATATTTTTTCTCATACAACAGCCCAAAGGCAAATTCATAATTGATGGAATATGCACAAATCTAAATAATTTTGGACTCTTCTGTCAATTATTATAAAATTGACGACTGTGTTTCTATATATACATTGAAAATATTTGAGCTAATATTATTTTCTCTCTTACAGTTGCTGAGAATAAAACAGAGAAACAGTCGCCCTATTAATATAAAAAATAAAAAATCGGAAAAGGAATCTAGGTAAAAAAGTCTAAATACTTTAACTAGTTTAACTAAATCAATCAATCGAGTCGGCAGCCGAAAGTAAAGAAAAATGTCTGTGATTGGCATCGATTTCGGTAACGAGGGCTGCTATGTAGCGGCTGCCAGATCCGGCGGCATAGAGACTCTTGCCAATGACTACAGTCTGCGTGCAACACCGTAAGTACCAAAAGGAAAAAGTACAAAATAATAGAGAGGTGATAAAAGTAGCACATGATTATGATTATTGCTGCTATTGGGATATCAATTAACGAAAGCTCTCAATATCCGCTGTACATAATCGCTTGCTCTTTTTCCCATTGAGGTTATGTATAAATGTAAGTCATGCCCGATACCTTGTGTATGTGTACGCGCGTACATACGCATGTGTGTGTGTGTGTGTATGTGGGCAAATGTTTGGCTGGGTGCGCGCCTAGAAATTTCCATTGTTGTCACTGGTAACGCTTATAATACAGAATTATTTTCATAAAATATATACAGGTAAAATGTAATATGTGCATGCAGCGCTCCATATGTATGCAATTGTGCCTAAATTTGGCTCTGGCTGCTCCCCAAAAAAAGCATTGCGAATTAATGAGAGGCCACATCAAAATGTTGCACTGCGTCGTGTTGCTCCATTTGAGATGGGGCTTCGCCGCAGTATTTGACTCAGATTCTAGATTTATAAATGTTGAATGCGTGGGAGCATTTTTACTTTTGCCAATATCATTTTTATTTGGCCAATCTAGATACACAAGCATACATACACGTACACATATATGCACACAGGCGTACGAAAATCATCGCATGCGTCATGCGGTCGGTCCGGTCAATAGCAGCATCAAAGCAGAGAGAGCGCAAGGCGGCCGCAGCAGAAGCAGAAGCAGCAGCAGCTGTTGCCGTGAAGAAAATGGGCGAAAAAAGAGTGCGAGAGAACAGCGAGCCTATGCGTTCACACCAAAGTTGTCAAAAATAAAATCAAAGCCGGCAAAACGCGATCGCGCACATACATGTGCATACTATGACAACACGTTTCTACATATACGGCTATGTGTGCACGTGTGTGTGTGTGTGCTGATTTAATTAACTTTGTTGTGGCAACACGACCATATTTGACGCGTTGCTAGAACATTTGTATACCCTGTACATTTATATAGCTTCAATATTGAAACTCATAAGGTATACAAAGATAAATTTACATATTTATGCTTGAATGCACCAAATAAATTTTTACTCTTAGGCGTTGCTTGGTTGCAGGCAAAATATCTCAGTCACACTTATTAACAAGTTTCAAAAATAGTGTATAATAATTCGTTTTATTATTCCACTAATTTAACTTTTACGTTTCTTCAGCTCATTTGTGGCATTTGATGGCAAGAAGCGCATCATTGGCGTTGCCGCCAAGAACCAGCAGGTGACAAACATGAAAAACACAGTTGGCGGCTTTAAGCGTCTGCTTGGCCGCAAATTCAACGATCCGCATGTACAGCATGAACTCAAGAGCATTCCAGCGCGCGTGGAGCCGCGCAGTGATGGCAGCATTGGCATCAAAGTCAACTATTTGAACGAGGATCAGCATTTCTCACCGGAGCAACTGACGGCCATGCTGTTCACGAAACTGAAAGAAACTTCGGCGGCTGCCATGCAAACGCAGGTGAATGACTGTGTCATCACCTGTCCCATATTCTTCACCAATGCCGAGCGTCAGGCGCTGCTCGATGCCGCACAAATCGCGGGACTGAATGTGCTGCGCCTGATGAACGAGACAACGGCCACGGCTCTGGCCTATGGCTTCTACAAGAACGAACTGTTCGAGGACAAGCCGCGTAACGTTATCTTCGTTGACTTCGGCCACTCGGCGCTGCAGGTCAGCGCCTGTGTGTTCACCAAGGGCAAGCTGAAGATGTTGGCCAGCAGCTGGGATCAGATTGGTGGGCGCGATATCGACTTGGCACTAGCTGAACACTTTACCAAGGAGTTCCTCGAGCGCTATAAGATCAATGCCAAGAGCAATGCTCGCGCCAATGTGCGTTTGCTGGCCGAAATCGAAAAGTTGAAGAAGCAAATGTCCGCCAACAGCACCAAACTGCCTCTGAATATTGAATGCTTCTTGGACGACATCGACGTTAGCTCGTCCATGCAGCGCTCCCAAATGGAAGAGCTGTGCGCTCCAATTCTACAGCGTGTCGAGCAGACCTTCAAGAAACTTTTGGTCGAATCAAAGCTGTCTCTGGACGATATACACTCTGTGGAGATTGTGGGCGGCAGCACTCGCATACCGGCTGTCAAGCAGCTCATTGAGCAGGTGAGTCACACTTGGCTGTATATTTTGGGTATGTTTCTAAGATGTTCTGTATTTTGTAGGTGTTCAACAAACCGGCCAGTACCACACTTAATCAGGATGAGGCAGTCTCGCGCGGAGCTGCTCTGCAATGCGCCATCATGTCGCCGGCTGTGCGCGTGCGCGAATTCGGGGTAACTGACATACAGAATTATGCCGTGAAAGTGCTCTGGGAGGGTGATGGCACATCATCGAGTGGCGAAGTTGAAATCTTTCCGCAATTCCATCCGTCACCATTCAGTCGTCTGGTGACCATAGCTCGCAAGAGTCCGTTCGTTGCGTCCATTGTGTACGGCCAACCGGTGCCGTATCCGGATCAAACTATCGGCACCTGGAAAATCAAGGACGTCAAGCCAACAGAGCGTGGCGAGAGTCAGGATGTCAAGCTGAAAGTTCGCATTAATCTTAACGGAATTGTCTTGATTTCGTCGGCCGTGCTCGTTGACCGAAAGGAGCAGGAAGAGACTGCCGCCGCAAACGAAATGGCTACCGACGAGAAGGCTGCCGGAGGAGAGCAAGCTGGACCCAATGCTGGCGAGCAAGCGGAAGCCCAACCTGAGGTTAGTCAATCTAAACAGCCCTTTATCGATTATGTAGTATCGTCATCATCATCAGATTCATACAAATTATATCATCTGTTGTTGAGTAGGCGCTCTCTCCCTTTCGCAGTTTTCTAACCCCTTCGAGTGATCTTCCTTCTAACAACTTCACCAGTCATCAACTGAATCGATTCTTATCATTTGCTCACTTCTAAGTAACTCGAATCTTCTTTATTTGATGCTCTTGCTGGCTTCTTTCACTTAGATAGGAAATGAAACCTAAGGCCCTAAATATGGGAGGCAAATTAAATAAACAAAGCCTTTTCGACTATAAATCCCTTTCATTTAGTACTTTAAATGAATTTATGTAAAAATATCTATCTAGCTATCAATTTTAACCCAAAACATCAACGTTTTTAGGGGCGTATACTAATACATTTTATTATGGCATGTTTGTGTTTCACTTTATCTCACTTTAGCGAAATGTTTAGTTCCATTCAGTTTCTTTAGTAATTTTATATATATCGAAAAGCTCTTCAGTATTGCGAGTCTGTGATTATATTTTGGTTGCTTCATGTTTGCGTCTTGGTTTCATTCCCAATCTACTAGTGCCGTAGTTGATGTTCCTCTTGCTGTTTAATTATGTTGTATTGTACATTTCTTTTGTACGAGATATTTATATATACTACATATACATACAATTATTACAACTATCACCCAAAATATTGGATATTGTGCGCTCGCGTTTTGCTCTCTCATATAGGCATATTTTGAGAATGAGGATGATATTAATACATCAACAGCCTCATCACCTGGCGGACAAGGGTGGGCACAACGGGTCAAGGGCTGGTTTGGTTCGGTACGTTTTCAAATTTAAAGCAAATAAAAATCTTAATACAAATATAATTTCTAATATAAAACCAAAAATGAGAAAATATCACGAAATTGGAAATGTCGTATGAGAAAATATCAAGCACAACATTTTGCGCTTTCTTTTCCCACCCAACAACCGATAGTAAAACGAATGATGAAGACCGCTCATAAGCCGCCTACCCTGTGTGCTCCTACATAATATTGCAAAACAAAAAAATAAATATACAATCAAAATAATTATTGAATTGCTTAAACAATTTGCCCAATATATGCTTGAATACTTTTTATTTATTTATTCAAATATATACATTTAATTATTATGATTTAAACAAAGTAAGCAAAAAAGATAAACAAAACAAAAATACACGTTCTACAATGCGCCTCCAATCCAATGAATGCTACTCGAACTTCTATTTACATATTTAAGACACGAATCACAATCTTTTGCTCATATTGTAGGCTGTTACTTGAGCTGTTTTTCCTCTTCGCTTTGTTGTTGTTCCGCTTCGAAGTATTTCCTCTTTCTATTGGCTATGTGAAACGAATAATTTGATCGAGTCGATGGAGCAATTGTTCTAATCTATGGTTTCTGTCTTCTGTATTCTATTTCACGCACAGGGCAATGACAAAACAAAAAAGAAGACCAAAAAGGACATCGAGCTGCCAATGGAGCCCATCACTCATGGCTTCGAGCCAGCTGTCTTGAGCGGCTATGCACAGCAGGAGGCTAAGATGATTGGCAACGATCAGAAGGAGACGGAGCGCATTGACGCCAAAAACGCATTGGAGGAGTTCGTCTACGATATGCGCAACAAGCTACACGTAAGAGTCTAATGACCTTCAGTCAAGCCTAGGTCAATAACAATAATATTGTCACATTTGCAGGGTGGACCTCTTGAGCGCTATGTGGTTGAGTCCGATCGCGAGTCGATTGTAGCGCAGCTAAATGATCTCGAGAACTGGTTATATGAGGATGGCGAGGATTGCGACCGTGAGACTTACACCAGTCGCCTGACGGCGCTGTTGCAGAAAACCGATCCGATCAAGCAGCGCGCCCACGACTACGAGCAGTGCCCGGCTGCTTTCGAGGAGCTAAAGAACTGCATTGCTGTGGCCCGTCAGGCAGTGGCCGAGTTCCGCAAGGGTGTGCCCAAGTACGATCATTTGACGGAGACCGAGTTCATCAACATAGCCGAATCTGCGGACAAGGCGCAAAAGTGGCTGGAAACCAATCTGTCAAAATTCACGCAATCGCCACGCACAGTCGATAGTCCTGTTACCCTGCAGGCAGTGCGCCATGAGGTGAATTCCTTGACTAGCTGCGTCAACTCTGTCATTAACCGCGCGAAACCGAAGCCAGCTGCCAAGACAACGCCACCGCCAAAGGATGCTGCGGAACAGAATGGCGGCGAGCCAACTGCCGGCGGTGACAAAATGGATGTGGACAACAATGGGCAGAACGTAGGCAGCAACTCACCCAGCGATGCTGCCATGGACGTTGAATGAACAATGCGTCGTACGTCGTCGGCGGTTATTGATATATTTAATAAAAGAAACGAGTATAGAAACAAATCAAATATATATGGTATTGGCTAACGATAAAAACAACAACACAAAACTTAACTTTACGTCTATAAACCAACATGAAACAACAACAGTAAAAATTGTATATGCACTTTTGCTTTCCTGACGCATCAGAATCAGCAAACTGGCAAACTGTAAACAAACCCTAAATGTGTAAGCGTATAAATAAAACAAACGATTTGATCAAGTGCAGCAGACGAAGATATAGCAGTGGAATCGGAAGTTGAAGTGACGGACAGACAGAGCTGCTCTACGGATGGATGCAACAACTTAATACAAACATTTTCTAATCGACCATTTTTGCATATAGTTGAATAACAACAAAAACCGACAGTAAATGAATGGAATTCAAATAATCAAATAAAACCGTAATGATGATTCCAAAAAGCCCTTAATTGGTTTTTGTTCGAACTCGAAATATGTTAATATAATATATAATATATGTTATTCAATATGATACATATATGATATAATATATTTATATGTTATTTAATATAAAACATATACAATATAATATATTTAATATATGTCACTTGAACACTTACACCCTTTCTTTACTACATATAATTTACGACTACTAGCGTATTTTGTTGATTTGCATAATATATAACATCGTATTCTCCGAATTGAAATAGGTTGAAAGGTCACATAATTAATGATAGCATTTTATATATATACTACATATGCCTATAGAATCATTAAAATATACATATTTATTTATTACTGTAGCCTCACAATAATATTCAGTTCAGTTCTGTTCGTTAAACACATTGCAAGCGCATTAGTGGGACTTTTTATTTAAAAATATCGAAGAACCTACTCAAAATATGCAATTTGTAGTAATTTTCCTGATCGCATTTCTAGCAGGTGCATCAGCCAAAGATGATTCGGTGAGTGGCTTGAAATCGAGTTACTCGAGAGATATCTGATTGCAAACTTTCAAATGCAGTTAAGTGAGAGCTCAGCAGCTTTGGAAAAACAGTGCGGTTCCTTTTGCTATACCCTTTTAAGGACCTTATCGCAGAGTGGCGACAAGGCTAAAAAGGCAGCAGAGGAAAGTGCGATAACAATCCGCAACCAAGACAATCAGATCAAGGAACTCGAAATGAAGGTAGCCGAATTGAAAGCTAATCTGGAGCTTATGAAAGAGAAAGAGATCGAATACGAGGCGAAGATCAAGTCGAATGATGATTTAGTAGTAGACGTAGGTCTGAAACTTGATAGTCTCACAAACAAAGTGGCGCAGATAGCAGACATAAAATCAAATAGAACAGAGCCTAAAGTGTAAAGTGCATTTCAAAAGAATTTTTTAACTAAAATTGTAACAATTTAATAAATACGCAACTCTTATGCATTTAAGAAAATTTGTTGTTCGATTAAATGATTCGAATAGCACTTAAATATAGTAAAATAGACGCAAGAGTGGATATTAGGTGTAACATTGTGAGTATATTTGGAAATTCTATGCGCTTACATTACAAAACTTGCTTATAAACGGGGGAATGCTAATGCGAAGGCGAATGCGTGGATAGCTAGCGTGTGTGTAGATGAAATAAATAGGAAGTTTGGCTGCGAGCTGGTGACTAGTGTATAAATATCATTATCCATAGATGCTTTGCTTAGGGTTCGCTTGAAGGCTCCTCGGTGCGATCCAATTTAATAATTAAAGCGTTTATGATGCAGGCGCCCGCCTCCTTTGTAAACCAGCACAGGTCGTTGAGCAGGTGCACAGAGGACTCGTTTAGAGTGCTCGAACTGCTGCCGGCACCGCCAACAGCGCCGCCCACTCCCGATCCACCTTCATGCGTTGCCTCATTGTCGGCCGAATGCATGCTGCGTCGCTTGGCCTCGGTAGCCGTCTTGCCCGTGGTCACGCCGGAGATGGACTGACGTCGCACGTACACCTCAAACGAGGTGGAAATGCGATGGACGCCCTGGTCGGAGACATAATGATGCTGTGGCAGCACCGGCTCAATCACTGTAGCATTGGGCGAGTAGTAGAGTTCCAGACGCGTGCCTGGCTCATCTTTGTGCGTGGCTGCCACCGTATCCTCGTCCATTTCCAGCGGCAGCGGCTGCCCTCGATCCAAAATGGCGCGAATCTTATCCACGCGTGTCATATAGTAGAAGGGCAGCCAGTCGCCATTCAGATCCAAGTGTACTTGTGCCGCCAGAGAGCCGGCAGCGGACGACGTGGACGTACTAAGCGCATTGACGGTTTGTTGATTCAGCTTGAAGTACACCCAGCCCTCCAGCTTGTCTCCGTTGCCGTTGCTGTTGCCGTTGCACTTCGAGCAGAAGCAGATCGGATCGAGGCGAACGTCGAAAAAGGCTTGCGGCAGCACAAGGGAGGCACAGAAGCGTTTCACCTGCTTCAGATATTCGCAATCGTTTTGCTCCATGGCTGCCGCGGCACTACGCAACGAGTCCCTAGCATTGCCACTGGAATTGGTTTCCGACTCCAAGGAGTTGAGCGAGGAGAGATCCAAATTAAGTAAGGACATTTGGTCCGGTATCAAATGATGTTGCATGCGCGTGTATTCATTCTGTTGCAGCTGCTGCAGCAGCAGCAAGTGATTCATATAATCAATCTCATCATCCTCCAGCACATTATCCGGCTCGCTGGACAATTCACGTTCATTGGCCGCCTCCGCAACTGCCTCCACATTGTTCTCACTGTGCTCCGACTCGTGCGAGGCGTCCATGGCTGGTGCAGCCGCACTGGAGCACAGGATTTGCTCGTCGTACTCCTTGTTGGTGTCATAGACTGCGTTCGAGCCATGTAACTGGCCCGCTGCACTTGAGCCACTCGCAACACCGCCGCCACCACCCCCTGTTGAGGTGTTCAGCGAGTTCTGAAACCGTTGGGTGCTCTGACTACGCTGTATATTCAGATTTGTGTTGTGCTGCAGCTGCAAGGACTCGCGCAAGCAGCTAAAAAGGAAATTGGTTTACAATCTTGAAATACTTGAATATAGGATGCACTTACCAAGTGGAGGATGATCCACCCAGCTCATTGCGCTGCTGTTCAAGCGTGCGATTCTTTATGGAAATATTTAGCAACAGATTCTCTGAGACGCTCTCCATCACCGAACGGGTCCTGTTGGTAAGGATTTATAGATTTAAGACTTTAAATCAAGTTGTTTTAATCTGTGCTGCTTCTTACATGACATTGGCTGAGGCGGACGTAGAGGCACCTGTGGGCAATTCTCTGGCACTGTCGCTCAGCTGCTCCGTATCCTTCTCCTTTTCGTGCATTTCCAAGTGCGCCTTCTCGCACTGCTGCGGCATATTGTCCAGCTCCAGCGCCTCAGGTGCCTCCAAGATTGGCGTGCCGTTGGCGTTGCCAGTGCGCGAGGCATCGTTGCCCGTTAGCAAAGTGATCTTCTCGCACTTGCCATATATGTCAAAGATGGGATACACATGACCGGGCAGGCCACTGGCCAGATCCTCTAAGTTCGTGGAGCCCACCATAATGACTGCAAAGCAAATCGTTTATCAATCCTAATTATTTCTTTAGACATCTCCATACTTACTTAACAAGCCGGCGTGGGTGAGCGAGAGAGTAATCACCGTGCCCACCTGTATGCTGTCGAGCGCCTCACCATACTTGGAGACCATGACCTGGCCATTGATGTTGATGTAGTCGTGCGTGGCCAGCCAGCAGCTGCGCTTGCAGTTGAGCAACGATATGGGCACGGCCAGCGCCTGGGGGCAGGCTGCCATCACACCCAAGCATAGGGTGCCCTTCCACTTGTTGTTAATGGCGTCCACTTTGATGCTGATGCTCTCGCCCTTGCATAAGGGTTTGTTGAGATACACGATGGCCTGGTTAAACGACTTGCTTCTCGATGCACTGCGTCGATCGTCGGAGAGGCGCGTATGCTTGTTCGATATGTCGACAAACTCATAATTTTGCGCCTCTGAATCGATCGACTCCAGCATTGAGCTGTCCTGCTTGTTCAGTGGATCCATGCCAAAGTCCATGGAGTCCTGGAGGCGCAGGCTGCATGGACTTAACGGGGATGCGGGAACCTGCGTGGAGATCACCTGCACGGCCATCGTCGAGCCGCGCAACTCGGCCACAACATACACATTGTTGGGCACATTGTGAAACTGAATGTTGACGTTCTCGGCGTTCAGCAGAATGTTCACCGAGTTCTCGACGCGCTCCAGTGTGATGCGATCATCCACGCGCAGCCACTCCAGCGAGGCGAGTGATCGCTGCAAGCAGCTGGAGTTGAAGCGCACCTCATTGCCACTCACGTACCAGACATTTGCCGGGATTCGCTTGAGGCTCGTGGGCAGCTTCTTCCGCACGCTTTCATCCGCCAAGTTGAGATCTGTGATGCCAATGCTGAGGCAGCCTGCAACAAGATTTGATTTGAGTGTTAAGATTCATGAAACATTTTGCTAACCTACCGGCAAACATGGGATTTATCGACGTCAGCTTTATTTCGAAAGGCGAGCCCGCACTCAGTGGATGCTCGGAGAAGACCAGGCTGTGCGAGAGGGCTGCCGTGGATCCAGTGTATCGAGATGCCTCTGTCCAGTCCTTGGTCAGCGCCACGTTGCCCGAGACAAATGTCCAGCGGTGCTTGGTCTCCAGCGCCGGATGTTGTATGACGGACGTCGCCTGGCAGCTCTGCGAGTTTTCGCTGGTGGCATACGGAGCCCGGATGTCCAGCTGTGTCTGGGTCAGGCTAACCTGCGCGCACTGCCCATAGAGATCAATGATGGCCCAAATGTTGGGCGCGTGGCATTCCCCAGCCGGACCCTGGTCCATGCCGTCGACAAAGAAGTGGATGTAGTCGCCGTTGCGCATGACGCCCACCCGTGCGCCCGTGCCGAGCGTGTCCAAATCGATGAGTACATTGGTGCGAATGGTCTTGCGATTATGGAAGATCATGGGACCGCACAGTATGATGGTATCATTGGCCTCCAAATCGGTGGCATTTGGTGCCAGCTGGATATCCTCCGGCCGTGTGCCCGTCACACCGATCTCAATGTTGCCGGACCAATGGCGCACCATCGTCTCCAGCTCGACCTCGAATAGTTCCCGATTGCGCAACGGCCGATTGCTAAACACAATGGCATCATTGAACTCGGCCAAGGAATTGGGACGCGATGCAGTCAGGCCGCTATTTGAGATGCCAGCGTTGGCGCCATGAATGCTGTGGAACCGCAGCGGCACCTCGCTGTACAGCGTCGTATTGGAAATGGTGGAGTTGCCCGTGTCCGGGCTGCCGCACTCCGAGGTGTCAATGATGCTGGCCTGTGCCGCCTGGCCATACAGATCGATCACGCCGTACACTCGCTCCGGCACGTTCGTCGCTGCCGGTCCCTGATCGACGCCGTTCACCCAAAAGTGCAGAGTGCCGTCATCCTTGCGCACGACACCCACGCGATCGCCCACCTGCAGACGATCCAGGTTCTGGCCATACTGCTCGATCACCGTAACACCGTTCTGCATGACACCGTTGCCAGTCATCATCCAAGTGCCAGAGCTGCAAAAACCAGATGCTAAAGCTGGATTCAAACCAGTTAAAAACGCACCTACCGCACGTTAGTCATGGTGAAGGGAAAGTCCAGCTCGTCGGCTGAGTGCGTGGTCACGCCCATTTCCACAGAGCCCGCCCACTTGGTGACGACACGTTCGAGTCGCACTTGAAACAGTTCGTTGGGCCGCAGCGGACGACGAGTGAGCACGACGCCGTTATTAAAGTCATCGGCAGCGCTAAAACATGTATTAAATTTAATTAGAAACTATTATTAGATGGAGCTGGAGTAGTGCTCTTACTTGGGCCGGAGCGCTGTGCGTCCGCTCTGCGTGACCGTGGCATGGCTGCCGCAAATGTGATGGAACGTGAGGCGATCATCGTTGCGTGCAATGGCGCGCGTGCTGGAGATGGTTTCGCTCAGGCCGCCAGCCGCGCCGGCCACGTTCATCTCGCTCTCCGGACTCAGCAGACTGAGCGTAGGCGTCCCAGACTGGCCATGGCTGCAGGCCAGAGCCATGCCAGCGACAATGTTGTTTCTTCTGGTGACCAAATTCTGCTGCTCGCGCTCGTCACGATCCACGATGGTCACCTTGATGGTCATGCCGTACAGATCGATGACGCCCCACAGTGTGGCGGCTACCCGCGTCGCTGCTATGCCCTGATCCTGGCCGTTGATGTAGTAGTGGAGGTTGCCATTCGACTTCCTCATCATGCCCACTCGGTCGCCCTCGCGTAGCTCATCCAAATTGAATTCGCCGTACTGCCGGCGCGTGCCCTTGCCATTGGTCAGTATGCCGCAGCCGGACATCATGATGGTGCCGCTGCGCATGTTCGTCATTGTGGCCGGAAAGTGGAGAACTGTGGGATTGTGCGTGGTGACGCCCACCTCAATCGAGCCCGACCACTTGTCCACCAGCTTGTCTATGCGAATCTCAAAGAGCTCGTTGTCGCGCAGCGGCCGATGCGTCATGACGACGCCATTGTTGAACTCGTCCAGAGGACGACGGCGCTCGGCTGAACGAAAATTGGGCAGCAACTTGACCAGAGAGCCGCAACGTGTATGGAAACGCAAGCGATCGTTGACATCATAGAAGTCGCCAATGCCGCTGCTGGAGCTACAGCTGGCATTGCCATTGAGATTTAGCCGGGCCAATGCATCAATATTCCCGCTGTCGACGACGCTCACATCCACGCTCATGGGCACATCCAAATTCTGGATGACCTGCTGCAGCGGCTGCTGCAAGGGCGAGTCCAGCAGCTGCTGAAAGAATAGATCGCTTTAGGCATTTATTTAATATGAGACAAACCAACTGAAATACCTCGCTGCTGGTGTTGTGGATGGCGCTCACGTCTGTGGGGCAGATGGACACCTGCACACAGCGTCCGTAGAGATCAACTAGAGCCCAGAGCGGCTTGGGCATGTTCTTGGCGGCCACGCCCTGCGACTCGCCGTTGACGTAGAAGACGAGATCGTTGTTGGAGGTGCGCATGACCCCAACGCGATCATTTTCATTGAGTGTCTCCAGATCCGTGCCGTAGTACTCGAGCAGGCGGCGCCCATCCTTGCGCACATCGATGCCGGACATGACCCAGGTTCCATTGCGCATAGCCGTCGCGCAAGCAACCAATTCCAGATCCTCGGGCGATTCCGATGTGACGCCAATCTCAATGCTCCCGCCCCAAGAGTGATTCTGCAAAGCACACAAGCACATGATTAGGACATATACTGTTTAATAGTTAGTATCCCTACTCACCTTCTTTTCGATGACCACCTCGAAGAGCACATCGTCGACCAGCGGCTCGGCGCTGAACACGAGCGCATGGCTGAAATTTCGCATGGAGCGCTGCGCTGAACGATTGCCATTGCCGAGTGTTATGGAGCGGCCGCAGCGCGTGTGAAAGCTCTGCATCGAACTGCCTGTGGGGTCAGCGGACATGTTATGAATAGTGAAATCGAACTGAACTTTTCGCCTAACGTTGCACTCCAACTCCAACAATTTCCACCACAAGCCGCACAACGTGCGTGCAGCTATTGGACTACTGCATGGTTACAACATTTTCGAATTAGTGCGTTATTATCAATTAAAACTTGAGTCTCGCAAGCAGAGCCCACTAATTTACTTATTACGAACTAAATTCAGGTTCCTTTTGAGATTTTCCTTTGTTTTTTCCGTTTTCAGCACATTTCTGTATTGTTGATTCCTCCTCTGTTTTATTTCAACTTTTTTTTTTGCAATTGCAACAGCTGACATACAGCGATAACAGTTTAACATTTGCTTACAGTGTTAGTTCAAAGCGCCTACAACAAAATATTTTTGTAAACAAATCCGAGCAGCGGCTTTTGAAAATAATTTCATAAATAAATTTAATATTATATTACATAACAAATGTTTATTTTATAAACAATTCGGTATATATTGTGTAATTAATTTGAAACTAACGGAACAGCTGCTGAATCATTCGATAAGTTCGTAGAGGTAACGCTGACGTTCGATAAGCTGCTATCGGCCGAGCAACTGATTGACAAAAACACATTTTTGGGAACTACGGCTGTTGGCAGAAGGGCGATAAATTCCACATAATTTTGGAAATTACAAGGAAAGACGAAACCTTAAACGAACATCGCACTTAGAGCAAGTAATGTAAAAGTTCCGTCTTTGCCTCGATGTCTTCAGCACAACGTCAGAAGCAGTTCGACTTGAACCGCGGCACCAACGCAACAGCAAATGAAAACAAAATAACAATGAACACAAACTCGAATTCGAATTCGCCCGGACAACGTAAGCTGCAGGTCTCGATGGAGCGTCTGCAAGTACAACAGCCAAATATCAATCGACGCGCCGCGGGCTCCAATTGGCAGGCAGCAGCAGCCGTCGGCAGCGAGAATCAAAAGCAGCCAGCAGCAAATATGGACGGTGAGGACGCCAACGGCACCTTGTCCAAGTCGGCTCGTGCACGTCTCAAGCGTAAGGCACAGCGCAATCGGTACTTGGCCATGGATTGCGAGATGGTCGGTGTGGGATTCAATGGCCAGGACGACATGCTGGCACGTGTCTCCATTGTAAACAAGGTGGGTGAAGTGCTGCTGGACAAGCACGTAAAGCCCCGCGCGCCAGTTACAGATTACAGGACCGCCGTCTCGGGCATACGCCCGCACGACATCGAGAATGGCGAGGAGTTCGAGGCTGTGCAGGATGAGGTGGTCAAGCTGCTGCATGGAAAAATACTCGTCGGCCATGCCCTGCGCAACGATCTCGCCGTGCTGAACATCAAACATCCCGTGGCCCATATCCGCGACACCTCGCGCTACAAGCCGCTCTGCAAGCTCGTCTCCAACGGCCACACACCTAGCCTGAAGCGCCTGACCATGGCCGTACTCGGCCAGGAGATACAGACGGGCGAGCACAACTCTGTGGAGGATGCACGCGCCGCTATGGGCATCTACAATCGAATTGCCGCCGACTGGGAGAAGTATCTGGAGCGGCGCCAGTAGAAATGACGACAGTAGCAAAGTAAACGAATCAACTAGCATTAAGTCATTGTCATTGGATTTTAATATTACAATGTAAATAAATATATTAAGTTTTGAGCTCAAACTCTTCATCCGATCCTATACTGTCCGTCTGTGGGTCACTTAAGACACTACCGTGTATTGCATTGTGGCGCTCCATTAGCTCCCGCCACGGGTCCTCCAACATGGAACTGTGGAAGTATTGAGAAGCATTTCCCCTATCGTTAAATTTTTTTTTATTTTGGTGCTGCCCACGCCTGTCACCGCCGCCCCTGCCGCGATGACCAAAATTCCGCGGGGTTCCGTATTGCTGGTGAGGTGTTTTAATCTGGTAGAAGTGAGGCGTATTTGCACTTGAAGAGCCTTGTCTGTCCTCGTAGAAGCCAACATTTTGTTGTTGAGGCGTTCGATTTTGGTAGAAATGTGGCGTGCTTGGATTGGGTCTCTGTGGCGTTTGCTGGCCACCGTTATGCTGGGACATGTACTCCGTGTTCTGAGATGGGTATTGTCGCACATTCTGAGAGTAGGGCGCGTAGTAATTAAATCCTTTTCGGGGTGTTCCCATTATTAAACCAATAAAAAGAGTTTGTAAACAATTCACTAGATTTCGGACCAGGGCTGGTGCACATCGATTAACTTATCGAGCTGTCTATGCCTTGCTGATAATGGATAACAATTTTCAAATAAAAAATTTTGAAAATGGTGAAGTAGTTAGCTTTCAGTATTAGATCAAAAATTTATTTGTTGTTTGTTTGTTTAGCATGTCATAAATTTGTTTTAAAAATAATGTGAACATAGACACTACAGTGGAGAGCGTGCAGGCTAGTATATTTTGTACAGCACAACATTCGGTATTTCAATGCTGCCAAAACGTCGGTCACACTAACAGTCTCGTTCGAAAACTCGACAAGCGAAGTTGCGAGTCGTTCTGGTCGCGCCGTCGCATGTAAATTGCATTTAAACAATTGCAGTGGAATTTCGCGTACAAAACCCTAAGTAATTGAAATGCAACATTAAATTTTAAATTTCAAATTGAAAGCGCTTTTAATTCAAGTTGCGAATGAACGACCGGTTAGAGTACAAATTAAAAGCAAGGCCATAAAGTTAAACACGCCTACAGGAGCGTTCTATTGAAATCTGCGCTTTGTCTGTGCCCCTGTGTGTGTGAGTGTGGAGTGTGCATGTGTATGTGTGTGAGTGCACTATGGAGTGTGGAGTGTGTATGATTGTATGTGAGCTCGTGTTGAATGCTTATGTGTGAGTGTGTGTTGGCGTGTGTATATGTTTGTTCAGTTGCATATAAAGAAGAAGAAGCAACAGCAGCAGCCGCCGCATCAGCAGCAACAACAACAACAACAACAAGCACATTACTCACTTTGGTGTCATTATTTGTGCTTCCAACAAAATTCTTTTAGGGCGTGTATATGCTTGTGTGTTTGCCTACGTGTGTATGTGTGTGTGTAAAACATAAAAATATATATAATTAATATTGCAGTTAAAAGTGCTTGCCTTGCAAATAAAAGAGAAAGAAAGAAAAAAATTAACACAGCAACTTTTTCGCCTTTAGTTCAATACGAAAACAACAACAACAACAGAAGCAGCAACAACAACTAAAACAACAGAAACGTCGCAAAACAACAAAAACAAACAGATACACTAAAAAGAAACAACAACAAAACTAAAACCAGAGTATAAATTTGTTTCGGTTGATTTACAATATATAGACAATAATAAATTCACTGGCTGCAGGGCGAGCGCAGGCAAGGCAGCAACATCGCTTTGGATATCTTCAGCGGCATCAAAGAGCAACTCTCAAGTTGCCCCGAACGCACCCGTGCATTCTGTCGCACTGTATGGGGCGCGGTGTCCACGTCCCTTAGCACAGCGCTAACTGCGGCGAGCATCGAGGCCGGCGACGCCCGCGACGACGGTGGCGGTGGAGGCGGTGGGGCAGGCGGAGGTGGCGGTGGCGGCGGCTGGTGCAGCACAATAACAACAGCAACAACTGGCGCTGCATCGGCGAGCAGTGGCCGCTTTGCAACCATAATGGGCGCAGTCAAATCTCGGCCCATCACCAGTGCCGACGTGGACCGACAGGAGGATCAACGTCAGCAGCTGCCGCCCTTGCACCAGCATCAGCACCAGAACACGAACTCCATGCAGCGCAATGGCCATCACAGTGCGACGCTCCAGAAGCAGGATCTGCGCTACGACATTGGCTCCAGCTCCCAGTATCATCATGTGAGGCAGCCGAGCGTGCGCAGTCGCAGCCAGCAGCCCATGCCCACCACGGATGAGCTGGATCGTCGCTTTGCCAAAGTCTTGGTGAGTAGCTCCACAGGGGCAATCTATGAAATCCTTATCTCTTATATCCTAACACCCACAACCCTTGCTCTCGCTCTTTCATACTTTTTCAATACATGTGATTGGGAATGAGCTCATCGCGCTTAGTATATGCGCGCTTGTGTGTGTGTGAGTGAGTGAACGAATGTGTGTGTGTGTGTGCGTTGCGATAATCCCAGTCGAACTTGAAATCAAGTTAGAACTTGTCGTAACTAAATTAAGTCAAACTTCGCTCAGCTAAAAGCCCCAGTTTTATTTTATTTCAAATATGTTAATTCATTCAAAACAGAGCAGTTAATAATATTTTGTTGGATATTCGCATATAAAACAGTTGTTTTTAATTGGGAAACATTTATAATAGAATTCAGGTCTAGGAATTTAATGTAAAATCAATGAGGTTTATTCAGTCTTTTTCAATATATATAATTTATATGTATAAAACATTTATAAAAACATGTATAAAAACATTTATTTTTAATTGAAAATAATGACTCATGCTCAAAGATTTATTAAAATTGCTGTGACGAATAAAAATATTTAGCAAAAAGCGCAAGTTTAATTTTGTATAAATTATAATATATTATTTCATATGAGTAGATAAAGTAGACGTTTTTAATTAGGAGCAAAATATGATAATATTATTATATATATTTAAATTAGATTTACCGATGATTTAAAAACTGGTGTTTGATAAATTATACATTATTTCAATATATTCAAAGAAAATAATACTCTATTTATATTTTAAAAACTTTTGATTGAGTGATATATTTTGATTTTCTTGGATTATTATCACTTTATTTGTTAAAGCTTTTTATCTTGGAGCCTTGGACATTAAATCTAGATATTACGAAAAAAAAAATAATAAATAAATAAATAAATAGTAATAATTTATAATATTAGTTATATTTTTAAATTAAAAAATAATTATATGTGAAGAAAATACTCTTAGCAAAACCTTTAAAAATTGTAGAATGAATTTTATAGTTTCTATATCCCTATAGGGTTTAAAAGTTTAATGTTATTTTCTTTATCAATTTTCGAACGTGCATGACACAAAAAGGGAATTAAAATATAATCTGTATTTCCCAAACTGCGCCGTATACCTGCAGCAATAATTCACAGGCAATTTGCTTCCTGTTTTAAGATCGACAAAAGATCAATTCTCATGCATGCTTAGGAAATGCATGCGACTTTCTGTACGTTTGGCACGCACAGCAGTTCGGCTGTGTATTGTCTCGTGTGCGTTCTCTATGTATGCATGTGTGTATGTAAATTTATGTGTGTGTGTACACCTCTCTCGCTCACTCTGTCGCTGTGTGTCGGCGTTCTGTTCTGTTTGTCATGCATCTGAAGTGCGGCTGGCTCGCAGCAAGCCGCTCAACAAAGTCAACTTAATTAAACAATGGGCGCGCGCTTTTATATTGCCAAAAAGGAAAAAATATCAAATAAAATTTGTTGCTATAAAAAAGTACTTGAGTGCCACAAGAAACGAGTGTGACCCAATCCGAAGCCAAATCCGTAGCCCCAAGCCTCAGGCCCCAAGCCAAAGACAGAGACGCATGCAAATGGCAATTAAAAGCAAATTGATCGATTGTCGCCGCTCTCTTTCCCACTGCTGACTCATTCGGCTTAGCTTATCTGCCATTCGCACCCAAATTGAGAATAAGTATTGGAAAAAAAAGAAGCATACATAGCGGGAGAGAGAGCGAGAGGGAGAGAAGAGCAATACTAAAAACACGAAATCTTTATTTATATGCGCAGCTCGAGTTCTCACTTATCATCCATCGTTCCCAGTGGATGTAACATGAAACGCCGCTCGAACTCGTTCCCTTTTTCCCTTTTCTTTATGTTTTGTTTTTGTTCTTTCATATCTACCCCTCATATATATATGGGGGCATCATTGTTTTGTCAAGTTGCATGCAACATGTAAATATAGGTGATTTATGCGTGTAGGTAAATGATTAAAGCTCGTTAAGGCATCGCCTTACGGGTGGGAAAACTGATGTTTCCTAACTGATTCGCATGCATCTTAACATATTTAGAAAGTTGATAATTCTTCTAGGGGAATCTATTGGAAATTCAAATGAATAGCTGATTAAATATGGTATCGTATTATTTACAAGAGACAGAAATACGATTTTAAGCCAATATACATATAATTATAAATATTACTTATTAGCATCAACATTATTAATATTAATATCAAAAAGTTTATAAAGTTTAGTAGGCATAAATAATTATTTTGAAAATCAAAGACACCGAATTTGGTATATGAAATCTTTGAAATATGCAGACTTCAAATATTTCTTTGTATGTTTATTTTTGGAATACTCATTATTACTGATATATCTATAAAAAGAAATCCCACATGCATTGCAAATCACCATGATTTGGCAAAGAGTTAATGAAAGTAACAAGAAATATTTACAAAAATTCATAAGATAAAAATGAATGCCAATATTGAATAAATAATATATTGAATATTAATAAAAATATATAAAAAAATGCATATATACCTAATTTAAAAATAGAATCAAAGTCTAATAGTGTATATACATATATTTAAATAAATAATCTAATATATATAATAGTTAACTACAAAATGATACTAGGGAAAATTAAAAAATATTAAATATTAATATAATTTAATACGTATTCTACAATAATATTATACATATAGAATAATAATGTATAATATATGATATTAAAGCGTTCAAAATTAAATTAAATATAGTAGAATACCTCTAACTTTTACGTAAATAAATGAACTGTTGCTCGAATTTTCTTTCGCATATTTTCGCATTTGCTGCAATTAGCCACGTTTAAACGATTTCCATTGATCTTTTCCCTCAGCTGTTCAGTTGTTGTTGGCTTGCTTCAAGGGTATACAAACGTTCGATTTAAATTGCCATAGATAGCACTTGTTGTTCATTCTGGTTATTTTGTTTACCCCCTTTTTATACCCTGAACCCATTGAAAATGGGAAATCAGGGTATAATGGTTTTGTGAAAAAGTATGTAACGGGCAGAAGGAGGCGTGGCAGACCCCACAAAGTATATATATTCTTGATCAGCGTGACGAGCTGAGTCGATATAGCCCTGTCCGTCTGTCCGTCCGTCCGTCCGTCCGTCCGTCCGTCCGTATGAGTGCGTCGATCTCAGAAGTTATAAGAGCTAGAGAGCTGAAATTTGGCATGCATACTCGTGAGTACCATACGCAGTACGAGTTTGCTTTATTTTTTCGATAAATCGTCCGATAACTTTTTTATCGAGAATAATCGAAAAATTGATTTTGTTTTTGAAGCCTAATTTGAACACTTTTAGACCTGGAGTCTTCAAATTTGCGTTGTATATAAATTTAATCGATACAAAGATTTTGTGATTTACAGATTTTGGATACCACGCCCCCGTTTCCCCCAATTTGTAAAAAACGCATTTCAAATACTAGAGACTTGTGCTTTGGAATGTACACATATATTCACCATATGATTACACTCTAAAAGTTTCATTAAGATCGTATGTCTACAAAAGAAATTATTCAACAAATAAATTCTCATAATATTGCCCACACTGCAGCGCAGCCCAAGCGCAGTCGCTGCTTACTGCGCAGTTAGCAGAGCGCAGGCTTGTGCGTGCGTGTAGATGCATGTGTATGTATGTGTGCATAAAAGAAGTGCAGAATGATTAGAATATCAGCTTGGAGGGTTCAGGGTATCTCCTAGTCGAGCAGTCTCGACTGGAGCCTTCTTACTTGTTGGCACTGGAAGTGTTTAACTGTTTTGTTTATATTGAGTTGTTGTATTTGCTTTGTTTTCTTCTTTTTTTTTATTTTCATATAATTCTCCATAAATTTGTTTTGTCATTTCGGTAGCGTTCATCTGGCTTGGCCTCGTCTCGCCATTCGCAAAGGCTTAGGCTAATTTGTGTTTACTTTTGCTTCCCTCTTTGTCTCTCTTTCCGTATCTGTCTCTGTCTCTGCTTCTGCTTCTGCTTCTGTCTATTGCCCTTGCCACTGTCCGTGCCAAACAAGCGCCCACAATTGAAGGCAATTGTTTGCCCGATTCGTGGCTATAAATAGTTTGAGTTTTGCCAACATTGCCGCTAATAATTTGCGTTTTACGTCTAATCGGGTGCAGTAGTTGCTGCAGATGTTTCCGGTTAGCCGCGCGGGTTGACTGAACTCTCCGTATTTGCATGAGATGCATTCATCAAATTGACTTCGGTCTCTCAAGCTGAGCAAA